TTTATGAAAAAAAAAGCTCCTCACATTCAGAAGAATGGATAATAATTAAATATATATAAATGAATAAACCGCCTAGACAAACGACCCACATAGAATCCTCATAGAAGACTGAAACGACAAGAAACCGCTCGACGTTTCCGACTACTCCAACACTTACTACACAAACGCTCTAAGCTTTCAATCAATTACAAACGACTCATATATATGACAATAATAAGACCTATTTGGACTTACGGAATTGAGCTTTGGGGCTCCACTAAACCATCGAATTCCTCTCGTATCCAATCCTTACAATCCAAAATCCTTCGTAAAATCCTCAACGCTCCTTACTTTGTCACAAATAAAATCATCCATAAAGACCTTAATTTTCCATATATTTCCGATTTGGCCAATCCAGATACCTATCCTTCCATAACAAACTCCAGAACTATCCGAACCCTCTCGTTTCAAACCTTGCTTCCTCCTCGATCCCTGATAACCCTCCGAGACGTCTGAAAAGAAGATGGCCTCGTGATCTACTTATGTAAATATATTATTTGAGTGCTATCAGTGGGTAGTTTCTCAACAAGCGTTTTCATGTAATTGTATTATTACTGTGTGCACATTTACTAGTTTTATTTTTTTATAATACAATTGTAAATATCAATGAATAAAAAATAAAAAATGAGTAAAAACATATTTTATAGTTTTACAAAATAATGGAAATTCGGACAACACCGTGAGGAAAGTTTAATTTAAATAATTAATAATTTCAGCATAGTAAACTTAATAACTTTTCTGAAACTATTTTAAGAGGGATTTTAAGCGACAATACTACAGTCTGCTTTCTATATAATAAACAGATCTGTTATAACTTTTCAATTTGAGGTAGGTTGTTAGCAACTACACAGAGAGACAGACAGACTCATACAACGAAGTTTTTAGCTAACTTGATTATTTGTAGTCAGCCTACCATAAGCGCAGACTATGGGGGAAGGAGAAATGGGGGGGGGGGGGTGATCATCCCTCAATAAAAATGCTTAGAGGGCGAGATTATCGTTTCGACCTTCTCCCCCTAATAATTTAAAGAAAATAAGTTAAAATTAATAACAAATGAAATACATGAATAAATAAAATATGGAAACTAAAATCCATCAAGAAAATTCTACTAGCTGACTTGACTAAGGTCTATAAGTAGGTACGTAACTATTTTATAACGACTTGAATATTCCTATTATTTAAATTTTCATTTATATTCAGTGATGGTTATAAAGAAACATTTCCTAGTATTTTATGATTTATTCACTTCTCATCTGTACACTTCCATTTCCACATTAGCCCGAGCAAAGTTAGTAATATACAATTAACTTGTAAACCGAATGAAGGTGTGTTCCACTTTCAGTGACATTAGATAAATTTTAAAATCTATATATTTTTATTTCTTTATTTGTATGGTTTCTTCATGTCAGCTCTAGTTCATAATTTTTCATCTAGAACAATTCTAGACAACCTTCCGAAGTCTTTGAAAAGGACATAGGAAAGGAACCTTTTAAATTATTCTAATCATTGAAGTATTGTATATAGGTATGTTTATTGTATACAGGTATGTATGTGTTCATTTTATTTATTTATTTTTAGGTTACTTTATTCTTATTTACTGTATATATATATTATTTTCCTGTATAATTTATTTTATTTATTATACATAGAGTGTGAATGTGATCCCTGAACACTATTATAAATGCCCTTGAGAGATTCCAATATTTTTCAATAACTAAGTTTTAAAAAAATCATTGAAGTGCTACCAATGGGTAGTATCCACACAAGCTTATATTTTTAAAGCACATTTAATTATTATGTTTTATTTATACAGCAGTAAATTTCAATAAATGAATAAAAACTTGTTTGTTTGTTTATTTATTTAGGCTTTAAGGCGTAAAACCCTAGGGCCATCAACGCCTGTGAGTCGGTTATATTTGTAAACTCTTTAGAGGAGAATTAATAATTAATAATAGATAGAGTAATAAATGAAAAAGATATTTAAAAACATATAAAAAATTAAATATATTAAAATAAATATAAAAAAAAGAAAGAACAATAAAATAAAAATTATAATTATTTTTATATTTTATTTAATAGCCTATAGATTATAAGAAATTTTATCACTGTTTTTATGTTTGTTTCGTTGTTGCTTCATACTTTTGATATATCGGGTTTTAGAGATAATCGATTTAGGCTTGAAGTGTAATAAGTGCATTCTTGGACTTAGAGTTTGTAAGTTTATTTATCAAAAAAAAAATAAAAAATTTGTCTGAACAGGTGTTAAAATCTATCATTCGGTACCAATCATAATATATACGATTTACAAGTAGATATATTCTTTTTTAATATTGCAATCTCGTTATGAGTGTGGTTTTATTTTTAGACGACTGGCTTTTGGTAAAACGTTATTCCGCCATCTTTGACTTCCTCCGACCGGACTAGAAGGAAATGAAACGATAAACTCTCTTAGACATCTTAATTAACATTGAGTTATTAGCAAAGTTTCCATTACAGTATTCGTGTGAACTTCACCAATTGGCAAGATTATAACTTCATCCCATCTTCTCGTAGCAATTTTATGCATCATAGTTGCAACAAAAACAAGAGGAAATTACTACCAGTAATGGAGCTCTTTTGCTCACGCTGTTTTTTTTTTTTTTGTTTTATGAATTATTTCTGTGCAATAATAATCACTACGTCACTCGAAATGAGGATAAATATACCCTTTGTTGGATGAAGAATTTGTTTTTTGTACCTAACAATGGCTTTGTTAACGCCGCAGCGTCAATTTATTTTATTTAAACAATAATTTAATTAATTGTTATTATAGTTTATCTCATAAAATGAAATCAATTAATAATTAAATATATATATTCATAGGCCCATAGCTTATCCTGTTTATATTTGATACTATAAACAAGTCCTTCCTAGGTTCGAGTCCTAAGCCCTTAGACTTCGCAATATACAGTCTGACTTCGCCTGATACTCTGCTAAGTGTTATACAGCCCACTGCAGTCCATCTTTGAATGAATCTACATCAAGTCGCTGTATAAGAGTTGGAGTGCCAGCGGTTCGTCCAGCATTATGAACGTTGCTTGCGTCCACGTAACGTCACAACAATTTATTAATGTTTTCGGTTTCGTATACATTTTATTATTGGGCCAGTCGTATTAATTCTCTATTTTGTTATAGTAGGCAATCATTATTGTTTTTTTATTTTTGTTTTTCCTACGAGCAGTCCTTAAAGACCACGCGAATATCACGAATTTAATGCTTCCTCTTCGCCCCTCATGAGCTCCGCGTGCTTACGTTTTCTCTCCTCAGCCCACGCAACACCCTTTTTTGAGCGATTGTTTCCCGCAAGAACCGTTATTCACTTGAGCGCCTTCTTGTACTCATCTCTGTCCAAACAATCTTGGTCTCTTAGCCCCACTTTGTCCACATCATTCTTAATCTGTTTGAAATACCCGCTTAAATTTTTATTACTGTGGATTCGCTGAAAAATTTTATGGTTAAGTCTTTCAGGATTCATCCTCATCATATGGCCATAGAATCTCAGCCTTCCCCTAACCACCCTAGCGTCAGTTTCTAGATCTGTTGTTTCCTTATACATTTCTTTATTTGACCTCAACCTGTATTCTTCAGATGTTCTCCTAGGTCCGTAGATTCTTCTCAGAATTCTTCTTTCTATTTTCAGAAGGCTCTCTAGGCTGAGAGGACATTATTTTATTGGACATCATTATTTTATTATTAAATATTTCTTAAATATTATGCATATTATTATTTTCATTTATATAGAAGTTATGTTGGTTTCATTTTTATTTCTTTATTAATATATGTAAATATTTAAAAATAAATGTTTAATCGATATAGTCCACTTTTTTTATTACGATTTGTTTAATTCAAATCATAATTAAGGTTCACTCGAAGTTTAATTTAAACTAAGAGGGAGCTTGCCAGGCTTAAAGAACTATTTTATACACCGTTATGAGAATAATTAATCCTGAAGAATTTTCTCTGCAGGAGTACTAGATACGTTTTCATCTCCTTCGTTGGTCCTCCTTCGTTCATGTTATTTATTTTACGCTTAATTAATTTACCTAAACTTGATGGTAACTTTACCATAAAAAAATTAAATTCGTGGGATTATCGACCCATAGATCCCACAGCCATGCTCTGTCCAAAAGCTACCCAAATATTCTTATAATAAATAACTAGCTGCGTCATTGATATTTTAATTTTTTTTCGTTAGGCGCTATAAGCCTTGTGGATCTTTGTCGATGTGGTCTTCTTGAAGATGTATAATGTTTGCGCGAGCACAGAGCTTGGAGGAATTCATGTAAATTCACGGTATTATGGACCATAGTTAGCATTGTGCTGCGGCAGGAGACCCATAGTACGTGACGAGGTGGAAGGAAGTTATGTTTTCCTAAGAGCTTCATCCTGTGGAGAGAACGCATACCAGAGGAGGAAAATGAGGCTGATTAGCAAGAATCAGGAGCAGTGATTAGGAATAAAAGGAGCCAGAGGAGCAGTACTTAGAAGGAGTGAAGAAAGCCAAAAGGATTGATAACCATCAAACAACAGGAGGACAAAACGATGGTGCGAAGTCACGTACCGGTTGCTCCACAGAAAACCGTTCATTGTTCCCAAAATATAAACATATATTATGAAGAATGTATGCTTTAGTATGAAGAGCAATAAAACAAGGTTTTTACTATTTTAATAGCTAAGAAGGATGGAGGAGCAGTGTCCTTCCCACCGCAGACTCGGATTCAAGGAAAGTTGAGGAGTTAGGGTATTCTCCTCCTAGGCCCAATCGGTGTGAGTTGGCTCCAGTATGTTAATGGACTCACATGCCCGAAGGGGTAGGAATCTCGAGCAGCGTGACTCCTTCTTTTCATTTTATCCAAAATTATAGCAAGGTCATTTTACAAATTATACTAAGTACTAATTAATTAAACAAACTGCTTTGGTTAAAGTAATTAAATAATTTATTTTCTTCATCATTTACAGTTCGGTATGCCTGGTCCTGTGCTCATCGGGATGGACGTAGAGCCCTTCCGCGACTTGCCAATAGGCTTCGTGGCAAAGATGGCCGGCCGCCACCTCCAGCATCCCGAGTATCGGTTCATGGTACTCTCGCCCACTCACCATAAGGTACCCACCGGTGTCGTGATGCCGCAGGAGCACGGGACTGTCTCTTCGCCACAGCATCCTCTTGCACATCACCCGCCAGGTGTCCCCTCTGTCCCCAGCGCCATTCTCGCCAAATGCAGTAACTTCTTGATTTCCCGATAGGGGAGACCTGAAGGTAAAATGGACACTGGAGTAGGAACTCTGCTATTGAAAGTCTTTAATAGTAACAAAATATCCACCTTAATTAATAGTATGAGGCAACAGATCCTCCGCAACAAGATCTGATTTGAAGGAAAATCGTTCCACTCACCGATATTGTTCAACTTAGTGCTAGAGAAGGTAACAAGAACATCACGCAAAATGGACTTCAGAATGAATCATAAAATCCTAGGACATACAGATGATACACCTTTCCTCGGCTGCATCTAAGAATACTTCGACAGACTCGTTAAGACTATCATAACAGAAGCAGAGCAAATCAGAATACTAATAAAGGAAGATAATACAAAATATATAATAATTAGCTGAGAACAACACGAGACATACAATAATATCTCATTTGTGTACACGCCACTTGACTTTCGGTTTTTGACGTTGGGTCTTCTAGTAACCTAAGTCTGGATTACAAGTCTTATTTTGATGAATATGTTGTTCGTATATCTGCCAAACTAGACCATGGTTCCAGGTGCGTCGCGTCCATGACGAATTCGTTGTTGAAGAGATTACAGTAAGGGTATTCGGCTACACCTATTTATGTAAGTATTTTTTCTAATAATCATGCCCGGTGATCATCCTGAATTCTGCAACCTCTTCTTTTCATTGTTCATTTATTGTGATGCGCCTGTCTTCCACCAGTATCACGTTGTTTATCGAAAGCAGCACTTGTCTGTTCTACAAACAGTTTTTCTTGTAGGAACTTTTATTATTGACCAAATGGTTCGGTCTCCTCTGTCTGCTTTCGGACACACTTAGCCATTTTAGGAATTCAATATATATTGTGATCGTGAGATCCAATTTCCGTTCCTCTCCAACAACGGATTCGTCATGGACGCAGCGTACCTTGAACCATGGTCTAATTTGACATTAAAATGAGACTTGGGCTACTAGAAGACTCATGGAAAAAACCGAAAGTCAAGTGGAGTGTGCACAAATGAGATATTATTGTATGTCTCATCTTCGTTTTTGTTTTTTTCTCTTTTATAATTTTTTTTTCGTCGAAATTTTATAAAAACAGCTCTCTCTTAAGAGAAAAGTGTACCTCAAGATGTCAAAAAGCCACCAGTAGGTCCACATTTTGCCAACCACTAGTACCTAGTTCTGCCATAAATACTGTTACAAAAGTTGAACTCTGTTTACGTCCTTGGGTATAGTTTAGATAAACTTACCTCTATCAGGTCATTTTTCTTTACATATCATAATCTCAATTAGTTTCTATTTTTCTAAGTTAAAATGGGGGGCCATAAAGAAAACCGAATAGCTGCGATCGTCTTACACAAAATTGGAAAATGTAGGTCAGAGATTGTCAACACTTTGAAACCTTTGGGTATCAGTCGCATGTTCGTGTACCGCAACATAAATAGATATAATGAGACCCTATCTGTATGTGTAAAACACTAATCCACTCAGTCCTGTTCTATGTTTCAGAAACATGGACGACAACTAAAATAATTGAGCAAGACCTCCTAATCTTTGAGAGAAAAATTCTTCAAATAATATAAGACGGACAAATGCCGAAATTCACTCAACTTTGAATGATCAAGATATCGTTCTGAGGATGAAGCTTGGAAGATTGAAATGAGCTGGCCAAGGGACAAGGGTGGAGAATAAAGCAATCCCTAGGATGATACTAACAGAACCTCTCTACAGCACAAGAAGACGAGGGAGACCAAAACTAAAATGGTCAGACGGCGTGGCAAGCGATTCAAGGGATGTCCTGAGAGTCAGGAACTGGATGTTGTCCGCACAGAACAGAGATGACTAGAGAAACTTGATGGAGGAGGCCCATGACTCTTCACCGAGTTGTAGCGATGTGATAATGATAATAATCTGTATGTTACAGACCTCAACCGGGTCCGCATTCTGTGAACAGCAAATACAGTGATACACCATAATAATAAGTGACCTTATGATGGGTGAATTTTGAAGAATGACTGGACAAGGGGACATTTTGAGTAATTTCTTCTTGTTTTTTTCTCTCTGTAGATATACTTTTATTTTTTAATAAAGTTTTTGAAAAAAATAATTTTTCTGTTGAAATCTGTATATATTTCCTTGTAACGATATTTATGACAGGACTAGGTACAGAGTACTTCTACTTTGTTTGATGATATTACTTATCCTCTACCTGAATGTATGTGAGTGAAGGTTCTTGGCGGTGGACAAATGTTCCAGCCGAACCGTATCCCCGCACTGTATCGGTTGTCCCCTCACACTGACTCCTACGGCCTTCACGATCCAATTGGACTCCACGTCGTCTTCGTCGTAGACCGCGGTCACCATCTGCTGCGAGCTACCTCCGGAATACTTCATCTCCAACGAGTGGAGCCTCGCGTTGTGAGCCAAGTTCCTCAGCTTCACGACGCTGCCGAAGGTGACGTAGAGAGCTGCCGTACCGTCACAACTCATCCGAAAGCAACATACCATGATAGCCATTGTCACGATGATTCTGACTGATAACATTATATCGTTTATCAATAAGGTTATATGTGATCCATGATATAAATGTTATCTAAATCGATATTTTATTCATAACATTTCTCACATGTGTTGCGTTATAAATTAATCATTATATCCTGTAAGTTTGTTTTTCGAGCTAAATAATTTTATTATATAGTATGGTAAATCAAGAAGAAATTGGTCTATACCCAAACCACAATAAGACGAAACTAATGACCAATAGTTCAAAGAAGAAATAAAAATGAGCAACTTCACCCTGGAATACGCAGAGGAATATGTTTATTTGGGACAGTTAGTTTTCTTCTCAGACAGAGTTACAAAAAAAAAAGCCCAGAGAGGAATAGAATTTGCTTGGAACAAGTTCTGGTCTCTGAAGTACATAACAAAAGGAAACATAAGTATCGGGCTAAAAAGGTTACTTTTCGATAGATTAAGGTGTGGCAAAATAGCATCGAGAGAAGCATTATGAAAGTAAAGAAGATAGATAAAATTAGATGCAAGAAGATAAAAGAAGAAACAAGGCTCAAAGACACACTCTCGCAAATAAGAAAAGGCAAATGGAAATGGGCTGGAAGTCTCCTGCGATGCAATGACAATAGATGGTCAAAAATAGTCACCGAATGGACTCCATATGACCGGAAAAGGATGAGAGCCCGACAAATGAAGAAATGGAGATATCCATTTAGGCTGTTGGCAGAACCTCTCTGGTGGAGAGCAGCTAGGGACAGAGATGTGTGGAAAGAAAAATGGTTAAATGTCAGAAATCCCGTGTCCAAGTAGGGCAAGTCACCCAGGGAAGTGTTAAAGACTATTACTCCTAAGGGAAGGCCTATGCAAGAATAGCAAACTTTTTTTTTTTATAAATTATAGTAATGTAAAAAATTGCTTTATTTTGTTTTGTGATTGTATTTTCAAAGAAATTGTAACATTTATGCATAAATAAAGGCTATTTTCATTTCATGGTAAATCAATAAAGACACTGACGAGCTGCATACAGATAAATGGAAAGAAATAGTACAAATTACTTCCTCTTCATCTCCACCCTGTTTTTTTTTATAGGATAGGGATTTATCCGTCTATGCCCAACACCATACTGGAGGGTCAGGAGATATAGTGCAAGACAAAGGGGCGGCTCATCTCCCTGTGAATCTGGGTGGCGACGTTATCATCACCATGCGGAAATCGAACCCGTGAAGTAGTCTAAACTGTCGATTAAGTCCTACACTTATTAATTTTAATGTATTTTTATTTATATTTTTTGTGATTAAATCCCGCAACCAGTAAATCGGATGGTTGATGTTATGAGAATAATAAATTTAGTTTTTAATTTTTTATTTGTTTTTTATACTTCTTATTTTGTTTTTAAACTTCTACTTCTCTAAATTCTGGTTAGTAACTACAACTCATTGGTATATATGATAGATCAGACCCATTAAGATATGTTATTCTTCTGTCTCTGTCTCCTTAGTGCTTCCTTTATATCTGTGCCTTCACCATAAAATTATTAGTGTTAAGAAACGTCTAATTTGACTTCCATCCAAGTTGATGGATCACTTTTTTTAGATCTAATCTCTAAAAGATACTCGGACTGTAGGCATTCGAACCTTCTGAACTAATTGCATTCCCTTATTTGATCGAAATCTCTTCGACTCTTCGAACGACTGTCCTCATAAATGATTAATGCCAAACAGCTAGGAGGTAAGAGAGATTTTTTTTTTATCTTATGAGGTTTCCTGGTTGGAATGCGTCCCAAAACAGTTAAGGTCACCGTAAATGGAATGCATGATATTTGGCAGATGTTTGTTCAGTGCGTGTTACGCAATAATAAATAAATCCTGTTTAAACAATAACGGATATTGAAATAATATACCGTACCATTTATGTACGTTATTTAAAAATGAAATGTTTTTGTTATCATCTTCATGAATCAACTTTTTATAAATATCATAAGAATATTTTCAAATATTATCTATTCCATTATGGTCTAACAGGGTGTAGAAATAGAAATATAATCAGTCAATAATTGAAAAAAATGTAGGAAAAACAATAAATATTATTAAAACTATATATATTTAATACTTGTGAGGAAATATTTGATAGTAGAGTTTATTGCATACAAATCAGTGATTACAAGCAACATTCGATGAAATTAAGTCAAAATGTACATTGATGAATTTTTACTCTCTGAAATCTGAATATTGTACATTTTTTTTAACCATATCAAATGTACCATGTTAAAAAGTAACGAATGTGAATTTGCACAATATAAACTTCCGATTATGATTATTCGTTACTACATGTACATATCCAACAAAGCTACTAATTCGTAAATATGACATTACTGGTTCCGATATTCCGTCGTCGCACAGTGGACCGAGTAATGGAAAAACTGATAATAAAACAATTTTTTTTTCATAACTCTAAAAACTAGATGAACTGGTTAATTACTTAGGCAGTTTGATAATACTTTTAGTTAGCAGAATGAACAGTTTATACTGTTTTTAGTAAGTAGTTGAAAACCTAGTTAATTTGTGGAATGTCTTGTGATTTGTAGGTTTTTTAAAATTACTTGGTTCCAGCTGATGGTTGATAATTTTTTCTTGAAACTATATACACTTTTTACTGCCATTCTACTTAATTAAAAACATATATAATCACTTGTTTTATTTCGAATCTTTTTTTATTTTTTGTTTAAAAAAAATAGGTGTTGTTAAATTAAAGTTTTACAAATACTGCGATTTAAAAAAATTTCCGATATCCTCAGGAAAATTGATTTATTACAAGTTTTTAGCAGTCATTGTTAATGGAAAATTCGTATTAATTTAAACCGCCATGGTCCGTCTGAAGGTAGTTAAATATACTTAAAATTCCTTTTGTATGTATAAATGTTCGAACAATTTCTAGTTATGTACTGAAATCTCCTATAATTAGACATGTTATCAAATTTAGTTTTAAGAATTGTATGGAAAATAAAGAAAATAAGGTTCTGTAGATATTTGTTTCGAAAAATACCTCAAACCAAAACAATAAAAAAATTACATTAAATATTCGTTTTAATTATTGAAGGAAGCTAGTTGACTGTTCTACATACCATGGGTGATGTATATTATGACGCAGTCTTTTAAACATTTTTTTAATTTTTTATATGTGCCAACGTTTCAACCCAAACACGTGGGTCATCTTCAGGGCTAAAAATTTTAAAATACAATCAGAGACATAATATTATACGACTGATAATTGTAAATAATTAACTATAGTGATTTGATGGTGCATGAATCCTAACTATTATTACAATACACAATATTAGAAATCACTATCGTTTATTATTTACCACTATCGGTCGTATAATATTATATCTTTGATTGTATGTTAAAAATTTCAGCCTTGAAGATGACCCACATGTTTAGTTTTAAACGTTGGCACAAACAAAAAGTTATTTTATTTTTTGAAAACTGCGTCCTGAATATTCATCATCCATAATATTCGTTTTAATTTTGTAAACATTATATTTTGTCTACCTAGATAAGAATTAAACTTTTATATTATTCTTTTAATTGTATAAAACCATCCTTTCATTTCGCTCTAATCTAAATTAATAAACAATCACAACACCGTTAAATGAACTAAAGTTTATAATTAAATAAAAGGTTGGGTCAATGGGTACCCGTATAAGACGGCCTCAAGGGAAAAAAAACAACTTTTATTTCCTTGTTTCACTAAAATTACTGTATGTTAGTAATAAAATATAATTGTTTTCAATCTCTAACTCTTATTCTTTTTAAATGTCGTTATAATTTCATGAACCTTTATTACTTGATCTGCATCAGTTGTCGTTAATATAATCTTATAATTAACGAAAAAATTAAATATTTTATTCATCGCAAAATGTGAGGAAGTATCGATGGTGTTCAAAATACGAAATGCTAGAGAAATTAGTTAGGAGTTACAGTCGCAGTGAAGAACACAAATAAAAGTAAAATTATTTTATTTTGTGCGGACGTTTCGGTCCAAGTTTCAGTCCTTCGTTAGTTCTGGAGAAAGACGAGGTAAAACCCAAATAAAAAATATTACAAACATATAATGAAAAGATACGTAAACAAATATTGTATGTTATCTACTAATAAATTAATTCTAAGAAGTGAATAAAATCCCGTTGTGTAATATAAATAACAGCTACATTATTCAATGTGAAAATCGAGTTACTGTTTCTTTTCGTGTGATGAATCATCTAGTAGCAACCTAACTTCTATATTTTATTAGCAAGTTACCCCATCATTTCTCCATCTTGAAATATTGCATGAATCTAACCAATATATTAATTACTGCGAATTTAATAATTAATAAATAACAATTTGCTTCCGTCTACTGGAGACGAGTTCGATTCCAGCTGTGGCTAATAATTTGTTTATAGATCAACAGTGTATCGTTCTTGTCATTCGGAGCCAATTTATATTTAATAAAAACAAGATTTTAAAAAATTGATATTTTTCCATCAAGAAGAACAGTGATACAACTATATAAGAAAACAAAATAAAATATGATAACATTTTTATTATTACACTTTTACTAAACTAAATATTTCATTTTATTTTAATCAGATTTAAATAATATGAATTTTATTAATGCTATATTCAAATTGCTTGGACTATAATTATTTTTTAAAAATAGTGCAATAAGGAGTGAGCAACAAAAATAGTGTAGTCTTAGTAATTTAAATATAATAGAGGATGTTTACCATTACGTCGCTGTTTGTCCGATTACACACGAATATATAGAATCAAGTATTTTAAGAAAAATCTTAAACCGTAATGAACTTATAGATTTACTCTATGGCAATGACTGGGACACTTTATTTATTTATCATGTATCAGCTAATAAATATAGATTGTTCTTAATTCAGGAATACAATGCATAACATTCTTCAGTTATTTGTAAACAAAAGCATATGCTATAAGTCATATGTAATGAAATATAATTTTTTTCACTATTTTTTTATTAAATGTTTATTGAAAATATTACTATCTGTCTCAAAGGACATTTATAATAGTGTTCAGAGATCACATTCACACT